CTATTCATTTTTTAAAGGTACACAAAATCGTAGTTTTCACCAGTAAATGTGTTTCATGAAATTACCTGTAACTCTAAAAAGCACCTTATTAATATTTTTAGGTGCAGAAACGCAGGCTAGTCACAAAATTTACCCTGCCAGTTTTACTCCGTCCTCCCTCCATTACCTTACGGTGACATAATTCATCCCTGCAGAGGGTTAATTTCCCAGGCTTGCTTTATCTCTGGAGTGTCCTGCAGAGAGGTACCTCAGCCCACCTCTGCAGGCATCTGCAGCCACTGCAGGACAGGAGTTTCCTGATGCCTTCTGCGGGGAAGTTGGGAACAGACCCAGCGCCCATCTGTTTGCTTAATTGAGCATTCAGTCAGTGGCTCTGCTGTCTGGAGCCAGGCAGGCCTGGTGGCATTTGGGGTTCAGCCAAACACCTCAAACTATTTTCCTCTGGGTTTTAGACCCAGCAAAATACAGAACTGGTTTTACAAGTCCTTTTGTCTTTAATTTTTTAATTTGTGCACATTGTGAGGGAAATGTAAGCCATCTGTTTCACTGGCACTTAATTCAACAAATTATTGTTTTGTAAGAGAAACATAATGTCCAAGAAGTTTGTGAGTCTGTAACTCTCCCGATTATGATCCCGGAGAAGTAAAGTTTTCCAAAGGCAGATGGGCTCAGAAGTCCCAGGGTTAGTGAAAGACACTCTAGTCTTAATACTATTTATCCTACAAAAGTTTTGTCCAATACCACCAGAAAGATTAATTAAAATAGTCTGATGGATTTAATTATTAAGCCTTTGTTTCTAGTTTCTTGTCTTTTTTTTAGTTCTTTCTAATCCCAGCTACCCCTAAGTGCTACAGGAGACTAGGCCTCTGTAATTTCTTGTTTCCGCCCTCTGAGCATCAAAAGGTTGTGTTTTTCAACCCAAGGCTTTGATTATCTCTAAGTGATTCCATTTTCCCCGAGCCTGGCTTTGGGAGCAGGGGACCTTTGCCTGATCTGCACCGGAGCCTACTCCAGGGCCCTAGCCCTGCGGGGTTATGCTCTGTACTGCAGAGACAAGTTAAAGGAGGTGAAGTGGATTTCTTAGCTTTAGGATTTGGGGGTCTTTAGCAATTTAGTGAGCATCCCACATCCCCTAAAGAGGACAGGATACAGGGTGCTACAAGTGGAACATTCTTTCCTCAGAGCCTCTGGCTGGGATAGCAGACTGTGGGGAAACTTGAGACGCGCTGACCCACATCTTTCCTCTCTGGATCTATGTCATTTCCTGCCTGGAGTCTAGGTCTATTGTCTAGGGGCACACAACAAACTGCCTTTTTAAAAAATTTAACTTAATTTTCTTTGTAATGGAGAAGGAAAGATTGTTTCTTTGATTGAAGAGACAAGCCTACCAGAGAATATGAAGTATCAAAAAGTGTTTTGCAACGACTTTTGCCTGCTTGGGGGCTTCATGGGCAGCCCGGAAGCTTGGTGTTAAAACTGGGTCTTTTGAGCAAATTCTACATCATGGTCTATTTAGAGGCATTTCATCTGTTAAAAAATACAAACAACCGAATCCTATGAGATTTGGCACACATTCACTACCAAACTGGGAAGTAAGGAAGTAGAAGGAAATGTTTCAGGTAATCTACAGTTAACAAGTGATTTTGGAGGCCTTTTCTATAATGGAAAGCTCCGTTTCTTTCTAGACATATGTATCTATCTATGGATCTATCTATATCTATTTATCATCTGTCATCTATCTATCATCTATCTATCTATCTATCTATCTATCTATCTATCTATCTATCATGTATCTATATCTGTGCATGACTCTAATGATAAAGCAATTTGAATTCTTTTCCTCTCTCCCCTAAAATGCCTTTGTATTTGCCTACATCCCACGCCTCGGTTTGCTACCTGGCTAAGGAGTCACCTTGGGAGACAGGTGGGTGGAGAAACTGCTTGTCTGAAAACGCCCTTGCGAACAGCCACATCCTTTGTTTGAGGTCATATAAATCATGGGGTTCACCGAGGCCTGGGGACCTGCGTGTGTGGAGGGGCCTGGGAAAGTGTAGGAAGGGGAGGAAGAGACCTTGAGCCTGTGACTCACGGGAGGAAAGAGCTGCCCTCCACCCGCTTTTCAGAGGGGACTCTCTCTGGCAGCCTCATGGGCTGTCACCCTTCTGTGAAGCCGCTGTATGGGGGTGACTCCTCCGACATGCCGTCACCGCTCCTGGAGTCAGCCCGCGTGCTGCCTAGAATTCTATCACACGGTTTGTTTCAGAGCAGTGCCCTGACACTGCCTCCCATCACTGCTCCTGTTAACGTCAAAGAGGACCTAGGCCCCTTGCCTCCAGGGCAGAATAGCTACTGCGCATTACTTAAATTGAGCCTAATTTCCATGTACTGACATCTCCAGAGCAGGCTATGGTATTTCTTTCTGTCTTCAAATGGCTCTAAGCAATGTAAACAAGGCCAGCTGAGTACTGATGTGTGATCTCTAACGCTGCTCTGACAGTCTCCTGTCTCCTCGAGCAGTGCTCTCTGTAAAATACATAAGCACAGGGGATGGCAGAGCCAGTCAGCTCCAGGAATGTCAACTGGGCAGAGCCTGGAAATAAAGAGGCTCTGACTCCCCAGGGCACAAAAGTTGACATATCTGAAGCAACAGCCTCCAAACAATTCAGTTGCTACCTTAATCAAATTATGCAGATTGATCCTTCTGCGTGTCATTCTCCCTGCATACTGCAAACATGCTTTTCTGCCTATCTGGCCAGCTCAGGTTACTCACTCATCCTGGGGCTACCACTGGCTAGACAAGACAGTACATTCCGGGAGAGGCCTAGGGTCAGGGCCTTTGTCCTCACATCCTCACGGGGATTGGGCTTAGGACCTCTTGGCTGCTCTTAACTTGGAATATGTCTTGGTGTCTTTATTCTCACTATGGGTTGTGTTGGAATTAACTTGCAGGGATTCCAATAACGTCTCAATGGGGTTACAAATTGAACTTTTTGGATTGTAAGGAACACTGACAAAGGGATTACAATACTTAGGTTACAACATTCAGTATTTGGGATACAATATTAACAAATAAAAGGACTCATGAGAGTCACAACCTGCTCTCTGTTTATAGAAAATGGCTTTTGCATTGTGTGTACCATAATAAATTCATGTATTCATTCATAAACTGTTCATGGCCCTTCGCTCACTCCTGTGTTCGTGGCTGGACTTGCTCAGCCATTTAACAACCCTTTACTCATCACGTTCCATGCCACGGCTAAGTAGTCTCCAAAGATTTTCACTTTCCAACAAAGAAAAAGTCACCCCAGATCATGTGCACCCCAGACCATGTCCAGATGAAATATAAACACCAAGCAGAATAAACATTAAAGGGCAGTGGCAACGTTATTAGCAGGTTTGATTCTCTGAGCTGAAAAGTGGTGTTTGTTTGAGGAATCACAATATCCACACAATTCCACACGATATCCACACAATTCCAGATTAATACTGGGTCCAGAGGCCAGGGAGCGTAACTGTAGTGTTCCAAGTAAATTAATAGTTTATATATATCTGTGATTAACATGTGTGTGGTAAAAAACTAAAAAATAAAATGCATGTAGTTAGTATGAAGAAAGGGAAACAATTCCCCTAAAGAAGTTTCCAAACATTTTCAAACAGGAGAATTGTCCTCTACCTCTACCACCAGCTCTGTTAAATACTTGCACTTTCATGCGTCTCTCAACAAATTTCTTTTTCCTTCTGTTTATATCAAATCTCCCTGGAGGAGCTGTCTGTACCCAATGTCTTCAATTTGCTTTCCTTTCTTTTGCAAATCAGGCTCAACCTGAGCCATTCTTTCTAACTGCTTTCTCTGCTGCCCAGGCTGAAAACACCAGGAGCCACCCTCTGGACGAGGTTCCTAGTCTGGATTTTTCATGGGGGCTTTCTCCTCTTTGCTGGTGGTGCAGAGGTATGCACTGACACTATGTACCTAGCACTCCTGCCTGAGCATGTGTGAGGTCTCACTCAGCCCAGGATGCAGGTGTCTGCTTAACTCTTAGCAGCACACAAGATCTCACTGCCAAGCTGGTGAAAAGCATCCTTCGTGCTCTGGGCTCAGGCTCTGACAGCAACATGATTATTCTAGGGGTCAGCACTGTCCACAGCCAAAACAGTCCAGGCTGATTCCCAGGCTGCTGGAATTAATCATCCCAGCACAGGCTCGTCAGTTTTATTGAATTATTGTAATTTTCCCTGCTTCTGTTTTGACACTTGATGACCTACTTTTAATACAGCAACAGAATGATCTTTGAAAAGTAGGAGTCAGAACATGCCACACCTCTAGGAAAAGTCAGCATGAATTCTTTCCCCTGGTGCCCTGAAGCTCACAGTCTGCCTCTGCCTCTACCTACACCCTCGCTCAGTGTCTCCTGCACCCAGCCTTCTCCTCCCAGCCTCCGGCACTCAAGGACCCTGGCCTGCTCACCACGGAGATTTGGACCCAGGCCTTGGCCCTGCTGCACCCTGCCTGCTGTGCACTGCCCTGTGAGCTGCTTGAGCCTTCCCTCATCTCCCATAGCGGGATTTCCTCCTGGGAAAGCTTTCCTGAGCATCTGCTGGACACTAGAACCCCTTCTCTGCACGTTTCCTCCGCCACGTCTCAGTTTTACTGTCTCCATCAAGGGTTCGCAGCCATCTGGTCCATTACTGTTTCCCCTCTGTCTTCTTTCTCCACTGCCCTCTCTGTGAGGAAGGAGTCTGAGTCACTCCCGCCACCTCTACGTGCAAACAAGTGGAGGAGCCACAGAGATTGAACTCGGATCTGAAAACCTGGAGCACTGATTCATCAGAGCTCGGGGCTAACAGCGAGGAATTGCCTCTCTCATCAGACACCTGTTGTTTGTAAAAGCAAGTCTCAGTTTCATAAGGTCAGCGAAATGCTGAATTTCAGAAACCGAGTTGCATCTAAACAAATGAAGCCACTACGTGGTAGAAGTGGAATAAATAAGGTACCCACAATCTCAGAAAAGAGCACCGCTTTTAAATTTACTTTCTAAATTTGAGATTTTTAACAGAATCAAACCACTCAAAAAGTAGGTAGTGTTTTCTGTGGAACTTCAAATTCAGACACTAAGATAAGCTTCCCAAGCTTCAGGGCAGAAAGAGGCACCCAGAGTGAGGAGGTAGCCTTAGAAAACTCCCTAGGGGGTTCCCTCTGAAGCCCCTTGTCCACCGCTGCTGTTTCTGCCTCAATGTCTCCTGAACCCCTCAAATCCACCCTATCAAAACCTGGCCCTTCTCCCCTCCCCCATCAAGGAAATATGAGGCTCCGTGGGAATCTTCGTCTCCCTCACTGAGACACAGGACACAAGCCAGAGGCACGAGGTGGCTTTTGCCCCTTCCTCTGCTCAGCCCAGCCAACAGCTGAGGGCCGCTTCCTTCTCCCCGGCGCCAACCGCACGGCCACAGTTTCCAACCGGGCGGCCAGCGTCCTCCTCTGCGTCCTTCCTGGACAGCCAAGCTGGACCTTGAACACACGAACTGGGTCGCCTCTCTGCCTCAGGGCTTTCTCCTACGTTCTGAAAATGGAGTTCAAGCTGCTCGACCCTAGCACAGGCCGGCTCCTACTGTTCTTGTCGTTTTCTTGGGGAAATCACCTGTGCTTTCATGGTGGGGTCCCACCTGGAGGCCACCAGGGACTGAAGTCCCAGCTCCTGCTTTTGCTTCCCCATCAGTGCACGTAGGACGCGGTGGAGGATGGGAAATCGCCTCTCCCCAGTGTCTGTAAGAAAACACTGCAGACATGCTACTGTAAGAAAGGCTGCGGAGAGTTTTGGGTTCTAATTGTAAGTAATTTCACAATTGATCAGTAAAGAAATAAAGCAGTAAGAAAGAAACCAAAGAAGTAACCAAGAAACCAAAAGCAAACACATGAACTGTTTTGTAAACATCTTTATCATCTGTGTCAGGACTGTGCCGCCCTGGGGTGTGGCCTGTGGATGAAGCCCACACCCTCCCCGGTCTCCCTGACCCTGTGTTCTGCTAACCCCCTGCAAGGCCCGTGCCTCTGTTGTGATGTCTGATTGCTGTGGGAATTAGAGGTCATAGATTCCTCTGGAGTATGGACCGTGCCTGTCTTAGGCACCAGATTGTCAATGTCAGACACAATTTCCAGGCAAAATTCAGACACTGGATAAATATTTATTAAATGAATGGATTAATGAACGCATAAATTGAAGAGAGATTAGTACCAGTGGGGAAAGCACATTCGCACAGGGAAAATTTCGCACATAAAGCAATCTGCTAAAGATATTTTTATGAGGATAATATAGTTATGCTGGCAATTTACATTGAACCATCGGTTTTTGAGGTTGCTCTAATGATGTTTCTCTCTGGCCTTCAACAGCACTTACTGGGAGTGAGAAAACGTGACTCCTAGCTGTGGCTTTTGTGCCCTGTTAAATTAAATGTAAGCATCATCACTGATTTTCATCTTTCCTCTGTTAATGTCTAAGCAACGTGCTGTTCAGACCATCAATGGCTCCGTGAGAGTGTACTGTGTTAGCACAAAACAACAAATAAAACTCCAAAGCCCGTGCAGCGGAGTTAGGACAAGGTGGCTGATGCGGTGCTGTGGCAAAGACCCTGGGGACATTTGCAAATGTGAGCCTCAGTGCGGTCGCCAGGCCCTGGCGGAGGAACGGGCTCCGGATTCCTTCCCAGAGCGCCGCTCTCGCCTTCCCTGCAGTACAGAGATCAATTAATCTTTTCATGCCCAAGTTTATGCCTCTGTAAACTGAAGAAAGCTTTGCTACCTATACCTAGAAGAATGTTCTGATAAATAATGAAGTCATGTCTGAAAAGCACTGTATAAAAACAAAGTGTAATTATGACTTTTTCCCTCTGGTTGGAATCGGCTTGCTTCCCACAGATTCTAACTCCTCTGGAGCAGCTGCGGTCCAGCCCACACTTTCTCCCCCCCACTTTGGAGTTACTCAAGCAGCTGGTAACAACACTAACGCACAAGACACGTACCACTCCATATCCATGGGCTACTTCTCACAAAAAGAACCTTCAAGTACTGAGCAGGTCGTTTCTGTTATAAAAAGACATGAGCGGACCCTACTTCATCGGCAGTATTTTGTAAGCTAAGCACTTTCTATCGTGTTCAAAAATCAGCTATTGAGGAAGAACAAAAATATGATAGCATTTTTTTCTGAGCTGATAAAACAGAAACAAAAAAACAACAGCAGAAAACCTTTGCACTTTCAAGCAAAAGAAATTTCATCCTAGGGCACTGGTTTTGGGGAGTCCTTGGATGTAAGCGGAGCAAGTCCTAATGAGATAACAGGTTGCGTAAAGCAAGACCGCTGACCTTCCCGCACTGCTATTTGTGAGGTCTTGTTCCAGTTATAAAATGCAGTCAGCTCAGAGTAAGTGTATTTCCCCAGCAGTAGGCAGTTATCTGTCACCTCTGTGTAATCTCCATTCTCTTTAAAGTTTGAGACTTGGGGAGGGGGGTGTCCCTATGACTTCTGCACTTCCCAAGCTCTCTCTTCTTCCCAAGCAATGGAGCAGCGCAGCCATTTCTGGGGTGTTACTAAGATGCAATCAGGGGTCATTCAGGGCTTGGGGGCACAGGGCATCTTCCTGGTCCCCAAAGCCTCCAGCCATGTCTGTTTGGGGGGAAGGAAGGGCTGAGCATGTGTCCTGCATTCTCCTCTATGATTCAAGCTTGGCATGGCATGAGCTCCCCTGATCTACCAGGCCCACCTCACCCCAGGACACATGTCATCCACCCCTCAGTGCTCACACAAGGCCCTGCCAGCCAAAGGAGTGGGGTGGGGTGGCAGGGTTTCCCACTGCTCCAGCCATCAAAACCTCAGAGGAGCAGGTCCTCGTCTCCATTCTCCATAGAATTGTGAGTTAAGCCCCTGGAGCTCCCCCCCCCCCCCCGCATGGTGCTGTCTTCAGTCAGTATTGAGATAATACACCTTCATGGTTTTAATCAAATACATAAAAACACCTTAAAATAGTTTCGATTTTCTGAGAGCTTCTACTTTAAAGACAATGGAATTCCACAACTGAGAAGGTAGCTGAGGAGTCCTGTGGTCTACCCTGAACCTGTGCTGGTGGCCCTAAGAATCAGAGCTGAGATGCTGTACTGCCCCCACAGAACCAGGAGCCACACCGGGAGGATGCTCAGATCAGGGGCTGAAGGGAGGGACCGAGTGCTGCAGGAGTTTCCAACCAGCCTTTCCCCACTCCTCCTGGTCTCGGCCATTTTACCTTCGCAGATACTTAGTCTGCTACGAAGAAGGCACAGACTCTGCAAGACCAATAGCTGCAGCTGCTGAAACTTTTGCTTTCTCCTTCCTCGGAGACAGAAAAAAATGGGGTGAGGAAAACATAACCCTAATATGGGTGAGATTTTCCAAAACTTGATCAATAGTTGCTCCATATTTTATTTCATAAACCCAACTTACCCCACGCAGCTGGGGAGGATGCCTTCCTCTCCTCCTCCTCCTCCTCCTCCTCCTCCTCCTCCTCCTCCTCCTCCTCCTCCTCCTCCTCCTCTTCTTCCTCCTCCTCCTCCTCTTCCTCTTCTTCCTCCTCTTCCTCCTCTTCCTCTTCTTCCTCCTCTTCCTCCTCCTCCTCTCCCTCCTCCTCCTCCTCTTCCTCCTCTCCCTCTGCCTTCTCCCGCTCCCCTCTGTGGGAGGGCTCTGCAGGAGCCACAGCTGCAGGGACCCCCTTAACCTGGGAGGGAACCCTGCAGATGACTTGGTGGGGGTGGAGTGGAGTGGGGTGGGGGGTGGAGGGTGGATGGACCTTGGACCCTGCCACAGTGGAAAGGACTAGGGTGTGAGGTGTCAAAGTGGTGATAGCCAGAGCCCTTCCAAGAGAAGCTTCCCTGCAGACCCCTGGCAGGGCCAGCCCTTGGCTGATATGATGTGGCTGAAGGGGAACAGCAGGGCGGACAAAAGGTTAACAGGCCCCCAACCCACACCTCACAGCCTACCTAAAGATTGGTTTCCTGGCCCTGGGAGGTCTGCAAGCTTCACCGCTGGCCTGCAGAGTCTGTGAACTCTTGTTAAGCAAATAAACTGAAAGCTCCAAGCTGTTTGACCTCAAGGAATGAAACATAAAAAAGAAGTAGGTAAGCATCCAACTGGTTTCTCATGACACACTTCTCTTGGGAATTCAGCAGCTGGCACTGTGCTCCCATGACCTGCTGGAAAGAGCGCACTGCCCGGCCAGTCCTGTCCCTGCATGCCTGGCTGCACCGGGTGGGAAAAGAGGATGGAGGCTCCCAGAAGCATGCACTGCTTTTCCGTTCTGACTAAAAATCGATTCCTAACGCGATATTTTTGTCTCCGTACTAGGAGACCCAGGCTGTGTACAGATCACATGGTCTTTTTTATTCTTGCTCTATAAGAAGGGAAACAAAATCTTTGAGTCCTGCCACTGAAGTTACTATTGGTGGTATTTGTTTCGTGTGCCAAAAGTAGCCCGGAGTTAACATCTCACCAAATTCTCTTCTTATGTCTCTGGTTTCAGTGTTAGAAGGAAAGAAAATGTGCCTGGAGATGAGAGCCACGGCCCTGCTCAGGCCACCTGAGCGTGGCAGAAGTGGACACCGAGCTTTAGGATGCCAGGGAGGTCTGGGAAATCGTCCTGCCTTTTAAGACCTTGAAATCACCTCGCTGACCTTCCCGCTGTCACCTCTCCTTGTCCCCAGTTGTCCTTCCTGCACCTCCTCGTGCCCTCCTCCTTCTTACCCCGGGCAAACGTCTCCCGTGGCGCCCTCCCTGCTCTGAACTGAAGTGGATCTAAGAGGGATGAACCCTGTACTCTTCCACTCTCGGCTTCTCATGCTTCTGAAATCTCTGAGTCCTGGCCTGTGATGTGTGGTGCTGGACTGTTCCAGCATTCTTTAAGAAACCGTCTTTCCTGGGCTAAGGCCCTAGCTCAGTGGTAGAGCACTTGCCTGGCCTGCCAGAGACTCTGACTTCCGTCCCCATACCACCAGCAAAGGCTGGCTGCCCCTACCAGTCTGTCTCAGCAAAGTCACAGCAAACCTCAGGCTTTGTGGGACACAAGCCCCAAGGTTTCCTGTGCCACTGCTCTGCCCCAGGGTGGGAAGCAGAGCGGTGTGGCTGTACCCCAAAGCGGCTGGGGCTGGAGCAGGCTTGGGGAGCAGAGGGTGCCAGGCCTGACCCGGAATACTGATCCCATACTTCCCACAGGGACAGGCACTTGAGCCCCCCATGGAGTGGGACCCCCATCTGAAGCAGTCGTCACTGCCTGGGGTTCACCCCGCTGCTTCACCAGTCCCTTTGGAAGCCTCGCTAGACGCCTTGAGCACCTGTCTAACTCACAGCTTTGGTTGTTTTATCCTGCACAATTATATTTCTCTGGTTCCTCAGCGCAGTGGGCAGAAGCCAGGTCTCGCTGGTCAAGCGAGCAGGAGAGGAGGCCCGAGGAAAGTCAGCCAAGACTCGGTTACATAGACAGTAATAAGGTAGATCACGCTTCGTTTAGGAAGCATTTTATGAAATGCGTGTGATGGTGCACACTTGTAATCTCAGCACTCTGGAAGGCTGAGGTGGGAGCATCACAAGTTCAAGCTCAGTTTGGGCAACTTAGGAAATTAGCGAGACCCTGTCTCAGAAATAAAAAAAATAGACAAAGGGCTATGGATGTGGCTCAGTGAGAGGGCCCTGGATTCAGTCCGAGCCCCACACGCTGTGATCAGTCCATTTATTTTTATAACGATGCGTCTTGTGTATGTTTGGTTGTCTGACCCTCCGTGCAATGATATTACTCTCAGTATTCTTTCTTGCACCTTTCAGATGAGAAGTTGGGGTCTAGAAAAACTAAGTGACTTATCCACAGTCCTCTCAGGTTTATCTCAGAGCCACCCGGGTATGCTAAGTCACCCACTTCTTACTTTCCAGGAAAAAAAATATATATAATGACGAAAAAATCTTTCTAATTAATATCTTTCACAATAAAAGAAAAAAAACTTGGAGACTTACAGATGTCTTTCTCTTATTAAAACGGAGTCTTACGTCATTGCAGACAAGGACAGACGTCTTGATGACTTGCAACCTGTTTCTGCTGACTGCAGCTCTGTTCTTCCCTGTTTCTCGCTCCCACTGGGCGGCGTTCTCGGGGTCTTCTTTCACACCAGGTCTGGGGAGCACACGCTGCCCTCCAGGTCTACACCGCGCTCCTCAGGCACTGCCCGCCTGAAACTGTCCAGGGGCTTAGCAGTTGCCCTGTGAGAAGGCTCTCAAGAGCCTCTAACATACCTCAGCACGTGACTTTTCCTTTATTTGTGACCCCCGAAATAGTAATTTTCTTTCCATATTTAAATAAATATTGCCTACCCCTCGTCAGCATTTCTCGGCATTGCCCTGCCTTCTAAGGGAGACGGGAAGAAGCAGACAATCCTCGCTTTGTTCTTGTGTCCTGCTTAGCTCGGCACCAGCTTGGCACAAAGCGGGGTCCAGCTGGGCACACAGCGTACCTGACTTCAGGATCAGAGGGACTGCCTGCATGCATGATTCTCAGTGCCCTCCCTCCTGACCAGGCCGTAGGACGAGGAGGAGCATGGAGCCCCAGTGCTGTGTCCTCTACGAGCTCCCTCCCACCCCAAGCTGTGGCGAAGAACAGGGGACGGGGAGGAGGGGGCTTGGGTTTAGTCTCCCCAATGACCACATCCTGGTCTTACCACTTTCCCTTCCCTGCCTCACACGGAGGTGAGGAGTCACCAGCGGCCTTTACCCACACCCCTCCATTCCCTCCCAATTCACACGAGGGAGCCCTGAGCCCCAGTCCCTCTCAGTAAGAAGCATTGCAGGTAGGGTTTTTAATTCCTTTAAATATCGCTTCCATCCCCGGTACCGATAAAAAGGAAAAAAGACAAAAAAAAAAAAAATCTCACTTTGTTAGTCCACACCTGTGGGTGTGAAGTTTCCGTCCACGCCTGGCACAGGCAGCCGGGCATAGCACACCTGGGTGCCTTTTATCCCCTGCCCTCCCCACTCTGTCTCTAGATATCCTCCAGCTCTGTCTCTAGATCTCCTGCTCCTGCTTCTATGGTTATCCTTTCGTTTGGGTCACATTCGGGACCTGTAATGTCTACATTTGCTGCACTTGGCCCCCTCACCTGACACATCTGGAGCCATTTTAGTTCCCTTCTCGAGCCACTGTCTCCATTCCTCAGCCCCTTAGAGTATTTATTTACTTTTTAAAAACTTTTTCATGCTTTCTACCTGGGTGGTTTCAGCTTTTCATCATATTAACCTTTTCTTCTATTTTGTATTTATTTCCTTTCTTTAGGTTCTCATGTTAAGAGCACAGACCAATTCTTTTCAATCTCCTTTCTAAGTAATCTAAATGCACACATTTTTTCTGTTTTGCCTTCTCTATACTCACAAGTTGTTGTTCAGCACTGTCACCTATTACTCAGCACCAGAAAGTTGACAAGTTCTTATCGATACTTGCTTTATTCTAGCAATTACTTGGAGCTCTGTTTCTGTCTCTGTCTCTCTCTGTCTCTGTCTCTCTCTGTCTCTCTCTCTCTCGCTCGCTCGCTCTGTGTCTGTCTCTGTCTCTATTTCTCTGTGCATGTGTGTGTGCGTGTGTGTGCCTAATTTCCCTACACACATTCTTGGTAAGCAGTAGGATTGCTGGTCAAGGCACAGCGGCATCTGGTGCACTCTCTCACCTTTGAGGAATTTGCTGACTTTTCCACTGAGGTCTAGCCCAAAACAAATTTCTGTGGTTGCAGCCTGCTTGAAAATGTTATGTAGCTTTGGGTGCATGATACAGATTTCTTCGCATGGCACCCTGGCTGGTCTTGGGAAGTGCATTGCACAACTCCTCCCACCCTTACCTGAGCTCTTTGGTTCTCCGGGAAGATGTCCAGGCCGCACTGTGGCTGTGAACATGCCCTTCTCCTTGTAGGGCCATCAGCATCTGTGCTGGAGCCCCAGGTCAGCATCTGGTGGCCCTGGCCTTGGGACTCCCTTGTCCACCCCTTCTGAGGATACAAAGCAGCCCGGGGCCCAGCCTGTGCCAGGGTACTTTGTCAGGCACTTTCTGTGTGTGTGTTTGCCTTGCCAATCTGATTTCTGCCATTAAAATTTCTTTCATGTTCAGTCCTCAGATAATTCTCATGCTTAGGGGTTTTTTTGTTTGTTGTTTGGTTCAGGGAGTCGAACTCAGGACCCCGTGCTTGCCAGGCAGGCACTGTGCCACTGAGTTACATCCCTGAGCCGTCTTCCTTCTGATGTGCTTCGCTAAGCTCCGGTGAGCATTCAGTGGACGCGGTAGGAGGAGAGGTTGTGCTGGGGCAAGCCTCGGATTCAGTTAACACAACGCCCACCCCTAGCTGCCCCGACCCTGCCTCCTCTTAGCCTGACTTTCCCACACCCCCACCCCATCCTGCTGATGTTTCTTAGTGCACAAAGCCCTTCCCTAACCCAGGACTCTTACACACCCACCCCCGCCTGTGACCACCACCCCTCCCACACTTCACTGCTCACCGCACTATCCGTGCAGGACTTGTGCCCCATACAGGTACTGTGCCGACAGCCTAGTGTAAGCCAGGCCTCTCTGTCCACTGTCATGCTGTGCATGTACTGCTTTCAGTAAAGCACTTTTGTTCATTGTTGTGTTATTTCTTTGAAATTTTTAAACCCTTGCTGGACCAAGGCCACGTCTATACGTGCTTCACACTGTCCTCACTGCTGAGACGACGGCAGAATGTGGCTGGTTTCAGAACAGAGTCCTTCAGTGAGTTCATGAGGGCTCTGGCCCAGGAGTTGTACATTTTGAATTTAGGTTAGGAAGACCTCCAAGCACAAGGTTAAAACTCCAGATAAACATGACCCATCGATTTTAAAAACTTACACCTTCTGAAAATTAGGGAAATCAGAATAGCTGCACGTTACAAAGCAGCAGGCATTTTATATTCTTTGTAGCTAATCTTTACTGTAACACTGGGCTCTACTGAGGAATGAGCTGAGAGCTAGGGAAGTCAAGAAATTTATCCAAGACCAAGGTGTTAGTAATGCAGAGCTAAGGTTCAGAACCAGATGTGAACCTTCCCAAAGCCAGTCTCCTCCTTAGCCTTTCTCTACTGCCCAATACACCATTTGGTGATCAAGGGCAGTCTATTAATTTTCTATCAAGAATAATTGATTTTAAGGAAACTAAGATGACATTTTCAGCTTTGAAGTTGCTCTAGAGTAAGATGAAAATAAAATCTAGTTACCAATTTAAATTTTATACAGCTGAAGAAACATTCAAACAATCCCTTCACACTGGGTCTTTGGATCCCATGGACAGCGCTTCTGCTCGATTCTGTTGAATTTGGTCCATCAAAGTAACTATGTGTGACCATGAGGACTGATGGGGCTGGATAAGCACGGACATTTATTTCTTTACTAAGGCTGTGCAGGTTGACTCTATTTACTATTTTCTTCAGACCTGTTCCACTGGACAGTAAGACAATGACTCACATTACCTTAGGCTTCTCCCCTATTTCATGTAAAGTTGAAAAAATTTGGACTTTCAATCAAACATCTGCATAATTAATTCAACCTGTGTCTGGTCAGATGGAGCAGGTGGGCATTATACAATCAGACAGACTGACATCTTTATCTGACACTGTAAGACAGAAATGGGAAAATCATTTCCTTCTAGGAGGTGTGTGTGTGTGTGTGTGTGTGTGTGTGTGTGTGTGTGTGTGTGTATTACATCACCCCAATCACCCCTTTAGGAGTTTATTTAGTTTCTATAGCTGAATATTAAAGCAAAAGTGAACAGACCAACTTGGGAGATTTGTATAAAAAACAGATTACTCTATGGCAATGTTATCTTTACTTATCCATTTTTTCCAATAAGTTAGGAAGTTTAATAAGTTTACAAGGGAAGCAGTGACAAGAAATCTAGGGAAACTTAGAACCTGCAGGATTCTAAAGATTCAGAAAGGACAGCCGAGGAATTTTCAGTGTGTGAACAAGATGCTTATTTATTTCTATAAGAAAAGTGCACACTGATCAGCTCATAAAATAAACACACAAAAGGAGACAGAAAGTGAACTAACATCCTGCTGTCAAGGTCTTAGGTGCAAATCTCAACACCAATTTATAAAATACGAATTGACAAAAGGTCACGGGGCAGGAGTAACAGCTGGCCTGTACTTACTGATTTTCCTTTTATTAAAACAGTTTGTATTTTTATCCAGGTTAGTAGTTTTGAAAAGCCTTTCCTTTGTTTATTTGTTTGTCTGGTTTTCTATTCCCATTTACTTCTGGGGAGACTCATTCCCAGTGTGAGGAAGGCCATCTTATCTCCCGGATGTGTGTACATAAAAAATGTCTCTGTGATTTTCTGGAAACAAATAAAGCTAAACAGAAAATGCCAAGGTCATGAATCTGGAACCCTATGATTAGTTTCCATCTCTCTCACATATGCAAAGGCATAATCCATTCACCCAAATGCCTTCACTTTCTGTTTGCATAGTCTCAGGAGAGCTGTTTATCTGTGCCTCTGTTTGCCTCACTGACAAATGAAAACAGTAACAGCAATCACTCAACACAGTCATTCTGAGCATAAATTCAGGCCCGCACATGATGTACCAGCATCCAAAAGGTGCTGGTCAGTAGCTCAGGGGCAGAGCACTGCCTGGCACTCTAGAGGTCCTGGGCTTATTCCCCAGCACTAGCAAACAAAAACTCAACATAAAGAAAGCATTTAAAACCACCAGGAAAAAGTACTGGCTGTGCAAAATGGGATCTAGCAGTACATGTTCACTGAGAAGTCCAGGGTCCCAGAGCCAGTTTTTCATAGAGAGAACTTGCAAAGGCAGAGACAAAGAGCACCAGGAAAAAGAGAGGGGAGCGAGAGGACTCTGAAGGGTGTGTGGGGAAAAGACCTCTGTGGGTCGGCTTTTTGTCTTCCTAGTTTATTGGGTATCGCCTTGAAATCCTGTTTTTGCTCTCTCTGGTGAATCATCCAGACTGTTAATAACCTGACGGTACAGCATGACCTGTCCCTCTCTCTTCTTCTGCTACAGACCTGCTACTGACCTTCTTTTTCCATTTCCCCTCTCGTACTTTTTCTTTTAATGTTTTCTCTTCTCCCATGCCTTCCCTTAGACATTTCCCTAGGATTTTATGCTATATAAATAAAATGTTCCAGAGGAAACACCACAGCCAATGCCTATTATATAATAAATGATCAGAAAATTTATGTTCGCCCCTTACTCAAGCCTTTCTTTTCTTGGTCACTGTTAAAGTCAGTCTCACTGGTGCTCATGACTTTAATAGTTATCACGTCAGCATCCACAAGGCTTACATTCTGTGTCCCACTGATTTTGGTCCTTAGAATTACTTCCTTGTCCTACTGGCCCACTGGATGATGATTCAATGTCATTTATTCTTTTTCCTGGTCAACTCACATGCCATCACCAGTCCCCTCAATGCCTGTGTGCATCTTCTACGCTGTCTATTCAAGGTACTAGAGGTTGTTTCTGGTCATTCTGCAAATAGTAGAACTCTTTGTTCTTATCCATGAAAGTCTAGATGCTGCAGAATATTTCTTCAGTGTCATCTCAGTCCTGTTCTCCTCTAAATTCTTATCAACACTGTATTTGTTCATGACTGCTAAGTATTCACATTTTTTAGAATTTTTTTTATTTCTACATGTTTGTAACACATAGCAAACACACTCATCACAGGGTGTTGGTGCACATACAGATGGTGTTTCTCATGGACTGCGAGGATGGCTCGACGTGTCTGTGCTGACATGGTTGATGGGTTTGGGAGTGCACAGCGAAACGGCAGAGCACACTTCTGCAGGTGTCTGGGTGAGACTTGGGAGAGTGAGTGACCTTGGGTACCATAGATGGTCTCTGCCCCCCGGTGGCACAGTTCCCCTGTTCTGCTTTCCTTCCACCAGGAAAGAAACAGCTTTGTTGTTTCACCCTTCTGCCAAGAATTTCCTGCCCTGATGCCAAGCAACCATGGACTGAACCTCTGCAATCATGAGCCAAACAGACTTCTCTGTCTTTAAATTGGGAGAGTCAGGAAATTTTCCCCCAAAACAGAAAGCTGACTAATACAACTGAACAAGTTCTCATTCTGAATCAATGTTTCCATTATGGTGTTGTGACTCTATATTAATCTTCCTGTAAATGCATATGGTGAGTTCCTTTGATCATCCCAACTAAAAAAAAATCTCCCCAATACAAATTCAGTACCTTCTATAGGCCCTACTGACTTATGTTACAGATGTCAGATATTTATATATTAATTCTCACATATGCTTTAATGAAGTTGCATAATCAGGAGCTCTCTACTTGTGCTGTATTCTTTCTCATCCTGTCTTTTTTTATACGAGATCCACATACACAAAAACATACATGCATCATCTTCATCACCACCATCATCATCTGACGGACCTTAAACCTGTAATTTGAGGCTCACTGTGCCGTCTTCTCCATGGGTGGCTCTTCTTTGCTGGCTGAAATAGCAGGAAGTATAATAAGAGAGCCTTGTGCTCACCATTCAGAAGGTGCCCACAGTGCCTTACACCTTGTAGGTAATTAGCATCCTTTGGATGAGACACAGTCATGTGTTCTCTTCTTGGGTGCTTGCCTTCACATGGACTGGAACAGAGTCCTGTGAGAGCAGGGCTGTGTCATCCAGAAGGAGAAAAGCTGGATTTTATTTTGATAGTGGTTTGAAGAGAACAGATAGTTGTATCTCCCAGATAGGAACACGAGATGCTCACATCTGTGGCCAGCACGAGCCTGCCCAAAGGCTGAAGTGATCAGAAATGTGATTTCAGCAGCAGGAGCGACAACCACAGGAACGGCTGTCAGACTGGAACAGAATGTAGTCCATCTTTCATTCAGAAGTGCTCCGCATTTGTGAAAAATAAACGTGGGAATTGAAGCCAACAGCAGGAAAGCTCAGAGGAAAGACAGAGTCACTTGGCACTGCTGCTGGCTTCCTGATTGGCAGTGGCCTGGGCCGGGATGGAATTCCAATTCCAGAGGGTGCTGAACTTGTATTTCATCTTTTAGGAGGGAACTCACTGATATAGGCCTGCTTTTCTCCTGCAGATTTAGAGATGAATAAGGCAACCTACAGAAGGGGCAGATTTTCCTCTTGGGGCACACAGAGATGCTACCACTGTGCTTCTGTGACTCTCAGAGAAGTATCTCTGTTCCTTTATTTGTAGTTAGAGGCTCCTATGAGGAACTTGGCGTGAATCTCTTTTTTCCAGCAGAGATTTTCTCCATTGTCTTTTCTCAGTTTCCCCCTCAGGTGACCAGGCCCTGCCCAGTTCTATGGATGTCCAGCTTACCTCAAGCTTCCCAGCAGCAAGCTGCAGAGGTGAGGTCTGGGGTTCATCCCAGCTCCTGTGCAAAGATAATAACAAGATCATTACAAACACAATAGAAACCACTATAAACCAAATGGAAGGAGCTTCTGTTTGTGGAGTGTTCCCTGGGTGTCAGCCACCATGCTCAGCACTGTCCACTGTGTTTCATTCACACTTCACCTGAAGCCTGTTCGGAGTCTTGCTCTCTGCACAATGCAAGGGAAGAACATATCTCCCAGAACACAGGGTGCCAGCGTGTGTGACCCCAAGATCCAGTAAGACTGTGACGATTGATTTTATGTGTCAGCTTGCTTGGGACAATGCCCAATATTATTCTGGTTGTTTCTATGATGGACTCAATGGAGATTTTGGTGCTATTTAAATTTAGATCAGTTGACTTCAGGCAAAATAAACTGAATGAGGCTGAATCTCCCAGGCAGCTGATGACAACTGGCTGGACCTTGACTAAGGGCTGACCTGCCCCAAGCATGAGGGCTTCTCCCATGCTCTGCCTTTGAGCTTGCTGAGAACATCAGCTCTTCTTGTTCTGCAGCCTGCTTCTGCATTGGACTGGGGCTGCTCCTCTGCCCTGGGTGTCTAACTTGTGCCTCAGATTTGGATCTCACAAAACCCCTACAGTCATCTGGAATTCCTTCAAATGGTTCTTTCTCTCTCAGTACACATACACACATGCATGCACACACATGCACACACGCTCTGCTGGTTCAGTTTCTCTGAGAGCCCTGGGTCCTAAGTAGAACAGACTGTTAGAGTGATACCAGTCCAAGAACATTTTTTCATTTTATGTGAAAAACATCATGAAATTGTAAACCTACTGGATTACCTTTATAAATTTTGAGAGGCTGGTGGCCAGTGAAAGGAGAGAAAGAGCTGATAGACTTAAGGGTGTCACACATCAAAGATGTTATCCAAACTCTAGTTCATGCTGTGAAAGGAGTCTCCCTTGGTGGGCAAAGGGTGACTGTGATACCTCTGAGTTTGCACCACCAGGCGTGAGCTGGAAGCCTCTTGCTGGTTGACGTCTGTCAGAGTTTCAGAGAAGCCATCGTTAAACATCTCGGTGAGAAATTTAGTGAAGTTCCTTCAAATATGTATCAAAAAAAAAGTCATATTCACACTTGCAAACTAAAATTTCCTACTAGGAAAAAATTTTGACAAGGTCTTGTTTCAAAGTTTCACACAAATAAAATTACAGTTTCTTTCCCAACAGTTTGCATTTCATTTTTCTTACTGTAATAATACAACATAAATAAAAGTGCTTTCTATAAACCAGAATCCACATAGCCTCAAGACTCTCCCCTCCAGGCTGTGCTCATCCACCACTTGAATAATTTTCATTTGCATCATAACACATAAATCTCAGAAATGCTGCTCTAAGGGAAAAAGACAAATGGACATTTTTCTAAAGGAGATAATCATCAGATTGTGTGAAACCGCAGGAACACAAGAGGGTTTCACGGAATCCTGCCCACCGCAGTGTATCAGGTGACTGTGGGTTTTATGCCAGATGCTCCTTTGCATGTATTTCAGAGTCTGAAAACTTCCTGCTCGCCTCATAGCGGTGAGCAAGAGCAGGCAAGACTAGGCCGGAGCCGCAGTGGGCTTGGCCGTGCGCGGGTGGCTGGTGTCTCAGCTAAGTCAGAGTGGTGCCTGCCAGGGCAACAGAGACAAGCAAGCAGGCAGTGGAGAAGCTTCTGAGTCGGAATCAGTGGGGTTTGCAGGATACATGGGATGGGAGGAGTGTGCAGGTTCTGGGCAGCATGAAGGTTTACAACTTGAGCGTCACATGTTGGCTGTGGTCCTCATATAGACAGCAAAGGGCACAGAAACACGCTCAGTTGTGTGATATTGTCTCCTCTCACCAAGTGAGGGATGTCTTCTTGCTCTACCGAGCCCACCCCCGTCTCCAGAGTCTGCGCCGTGCAAAGGTGCATCCCTGAAGACGGCAGAGCCTCCCCTTAACAGCTGCATTTCAAGCTTCCTAATCTCATCCTTACCTAACTCAGGCGGGAGCTTCCTCTTTGGGCATGCTTGCCAACCCATCCAGATTTGTGTGGCTTCATTCTGTTTGTATCCACTGAAGGAAGTAGACAAATACCTTGCCTTGTGCAGGTTTCCTGTGGAAGAATAGGAAATAGACCGAGGCGGACTCCACATAGGCAATACTTTGCCAACTGCTTGATTCATGGTTTATGTTACAGGCAGAACAGTCACACCCTGGAGATAAGTCATCACGGGGTGGAACTGGGTGACATACAGGGAAAAGTGAAAAAGGGCTGCTGAAAACATGAATGTCTGTGATTAAAAAGTTAGATCCCTTCTGTCACATTAACAACTACAATAGTTCACAAAAATGCTTCCTGTTGTTAGGCAGGAAAAAAATCACTGCTAATTAAATTAGGACAAAATGCCAAGAGATCACGGAGGTAAGATCCATCTTCCCAACTTCAGATCTGGTAAACAGTGAAACCATACAGATGTCTGAAAACAGATGTGCTCTGGGAGGACTGAGGTTTCCTATCAAAAACTCCTCAGGAGGATACTGACATTTCTTCCCTTGCTTTTAAAAATCAACAGTCCTTTACAAACTAAAATCCCCAACTAGAAATTATATATAACTGAAAGTCTTTTCATCCCTGATTTCTACTCTGTTTTACATTAAAATGGGCTCGATTCTGTTTGGGGTCTATCAGAATTTTGGTTACAGGAAAAGATGGCAACGGCGTGTTCGCTGTTCACGTCCAGGGACCATGAACTCCCCTCCTTGGGAAGGGATCGTGCCCTGCAGAGCTTCTGCTTTATTTCAAAGCTCCTGGCATTAGTGGCGACTGGGCTGAGGGACTCTGGAAAGCCTCAGATGGCACGAAATGCATGCTTATTTTACTCTGCAAGCATCCCTCAGCCCTGAGTCATTGGATGGATTTCTTGTTCTAAGTAAATTTACTGAATTATTATTAAGTAATAAAATATTAAGCCAAAAGTGAATTAGGAAAGCGCATGGTCTAAGTTAGGGGAAGGAGAAACCAGGAGGTACGATGTGTGATCAACTACACATTTACACAGGCATGTAAATGCTACCCAGCCTTGCGACAATGACTTCTTTTTTAGGTCACATCCTTGCATGATAGCCATGGAATCACTTTTGGGGGTATAATTATAAATGCAACACTCAACCCCATTTTTCTGCAATATGGTATGACTTACTCCTCGGAGGAATGGTACAACATCAAAGCATACATTTTGCTTTAAGTTGCCAAATTGCTTGGAATCTTCTCCCAGTAGGCTTCCCGTAGCTGAGAAAAACAAATTTCAGATTTGTCATGAGAGATCTTGCGCATTCTGTTCACCACATTGTGTATAGGTGGCTTCTGGGTTCCAGTGCTGGGAAGAACACTTCTTATATTTCAGAATTTAAGAGCTTTTGGAAACAGCAACCTCATTGCATTCCTGAGAAAAAAAACATGTTATGCATGCTCTCAGAAAAGTACACAGATTCATGTAGAGTCAAGATATTTTTCAAGACAAGGAGTTTAATGTAGAAAGAAAGGATCATGATGGTCTTATACCCACATTCCGTGCACCCACGTTCTTACATACAGCTGTGTGCTAGAAACCAGATGAGATGAAGCAGCGCAGCGCCCACAGAGATGGCCTACTTTCGGTTTCCTGTTCTCATAAATTTTCTTCCATTAAAGTTTCAAGGATCTTGAATTTGCTAGCCTTTTATCAAATATTTATTAGAGATATGCTGGCAATGTTGATTTATCATTGAGTTTTATTTGTTCTCACATTAAAATTCCTTTTCTTTTATGAGGCAGATAGAATAGTACTTCAGATAACACAAATCTTTATCAAGTGATGAAAACGGAGAGGGCATCAAATCATTTCAGAAGCAGTGCTTGCTTTGCCTGTAGCTAGACATTTCTTCTTCATCTTCATCTTCTGGGAGAAACTGCTAAGAGATACCGGACTGAGCATAACTGAGCAGGATGCACATTTTTGCTGGCTGTTTGTACATCTGAAAAACTTTTATCTAGGACAAACGAAATAAACTGAGACCAAAAATCATTGGGCCTGAACACAATGCAAGTGTTAACCAAAACAGCCCACAAAGCTGGGAAAATAATAAAGAAAGAGGAAGGGAGAAGGGAAGAAAAAAGAGAGGAAAGGAGAAAAGGACAGCTTGGGGAGGGACCCTGGTGCTCCAGGGGAACTCGGCAGCTCTGAGCCGCTGGAGCACAAGCTCCCACACTCTCTTTTTCTCCCTGCTCCAAGCCCAGCATGACTTCCATAACTGCCAACAACTTCAAGTCTCAGGAAACAAATTTTAATAATAGTTTACACCAACATATCTTATCTTCTTGCTAGTTCTCAGGGTTTCTTCTTATGAGCATATTTCACTTAAAAATTCTCAAAAACTATCTTTTTTTGTAACATAAGCCATTGTGATGGTCCCTGCAATCATTCATCACCAATAGTTCCATTTTGTAATGAATTTGAACTTGAGTTTTGGGCATCCACTAAGTAAATGCCTGTCCTAGTGAGACTGTGTGTATGCCAACATACATGTGTGTTTCTGTGTTTCTGTGCACAACTGTGTGCACGCATGCATATTTATGGATCTCCGTGTCTATAAAGAATTTCAACCGTTTCTTGTGTCAATTTCTCTGTAACATAATCCCCGAAGTGCTTATCCCTTACTGCAAGACGTGCACTAAAAATAATAGCATATTTCAGCCAACTTCCGGCTCACTGACCAATTTCACTTTCACCCAGTACAGAAAGCCTGAGAAACTAATTTCATTTTACAGTCCATTAGCAGACTGAAAAGACCAGGATAACTCTGAGGAGAATTGGGCAGGTAACTGGAATGACACGTACCTGGCTTTTCCTCCCCTGGAAAAGAGAGGAAGAGGTTCACGTGGGGCTGTGTGGGGACTGAGCTTCAAATTCAGAGACAGGACAGCACCTGGCTGACTTCACTGGCCACCGTTCTGGGGTTTTCAAGTCTTTGCTTTGTATCCATACCAAAACCACGCTCTAGATCACAATTACAGCAAGATGAATATGCAGATACCAGAGTAAAGAAATCACTGAAATCTTGCTTCAAATTCATGATCCAAGCTACGTATCTATGAGCCATGGCAAGCAACTTACTTTTTCAGAAACTGTTCCCAATAGTGATCTCAAGAATTCTTTCTCAGTAGACGGAATTGTTAAGATTCATATCTTCTACATCACATGGAGGGGTCGGAATAATTTATGGCTAGATGTCCTGAATGTCAAGTCAGGTTCCTTCTGAACACATCTGGGCACCACATGAAAATGCAAAGCATTTCACCACATGAGTGAGAAACCAATCAAAGATTTACCCCAGCAGCTTTTATTCGTGTCTGCTCTTCAGTATACAATAAGAAACGTGGAATTTCTGACTTGGCAGTGTCTTGATCACAACAGCCATTGCCGCACCTTCAGTAAGTCATATCCTTTGAACTTTTACCTTAAAAATAAGTGCTCTTTTTACACCAGCGTGCCTCTTTTCCCATGAGCTTCGATGGACTCTGTGTATTAACTACCCTGGCTGCCAAGTAAAGAAATCACAATTTTTCTTCTACACCTTTACATTTACTGCTTCAAAGAATTCTCAAAAAGCTTAGTCTAGTGTTGGAAAAACTCACCCAATGAGAATAATTATAATGTATAAAATAAGGAAAAACTGCTATGAGGAGAGAAAAGAAAAATATTACATTGCCTGCTTTTAAATTCAAAAGAAGATGGTTATTTTAGACTCAGATACGAAGGTCGTATAGAAAAGCTTTCTTTGCTTAGTTTTCCCTGGTAATTACGCCTTCCACAACTGTAGGACATTATCAAAACCAGAAAAATTGGCACTGGTGCAATGTTGGAGCGATTCTATGACACATTAACACCTGTGCAGATTTATGTAATGACTATCATGATCAAGATACAGAACTGTGCCATCACCATTAAAATGTCTTTTTCCTTGTTTTTGCGTTATGCATTTGTGTATAAAGACACATTTCACTGACACATAGTGACAGACTCTATTTATGGGTCTCAGTGTGATATTTCAATATATGCATGCAATCAGTACTGATCAAATTAGAGTAGCTGGCATAGTCATCACTTGAGGCTTACATTATTTCTCTGTTGGAAGTCTCAGAATCCTCTCTGCTGGCTATTTTGAAATAGCAAATGAATACTTGTCAACCAAAGTTCTGCTTCCTCCCAACTGCATTCCTGTGCTCTTTCACATCCTGTCCTAGCCCTCCTTCCCAGCACCCGCTCAGGCTCTGGGAACCACTACTATTTTTCTCCTTCTTTGAGGTTAGCTTTGTGTCCACGTGGAAGTGTGAATAGATGGGGTTGTCTTCCTCCGCCCAACTCATGTACCGTCCCCAGCACCTCCATGCCCTCCACAGCCGCCCCACACCACCCGCCACCTCTGGCCACTGCCAATTTGTTCTCCATCTCTGTAATTTTGTTGGCCCAAGAATGTCCTTAGAGGCGGAGCATTTCCCCGCAGCTCGGTGCCCCAGGCTCACCCTAGCAAGGGAGGTCATTCCACTCCCTTTTCTTAGGATGGTGTGTACAGCTTTCAGGGCTGGGTGGCACAGTAAGTGTGTGTTTAGTTTGCAAGAAGTTATTGACCTGCTTTCTGGAGAGGTTGCACTGCTCTCAGCGCTCCCCAGCAAAGTGTCAGGGCGAGGCTGCCCATGTCCTCGCCCCCTAGCACAGTCACGGCGTGGGCACTATCTGATCTCACGGAGGGTGACAGCCCCTCCTGATCGCTCCAGCCACACAAGTGCGTGGTCACGACTTTCCGTGCACTCTTGGTCTTGAGATTGCCTCCCCCCTCCCCATTCTCCTCCATTCCTTTCAATCTCTCTTCCTTATTTACAAATCTTTGGTTCCATTTTATCCTTATCTCATCTGTTTTTCTCTTCCTGCCCTTCCTTTCCCTCTTCCTTGGTCCTGGTTCCTTTCTCCATTCGAACGTTTTTTTCATATTTCACAATATCGATTGTACATTCAGTTTCTCATAACAGAGCAACTGTCTGATATTTGAATGAATGTGCCGTTTTTTATTTATTTCACTCAAGAATGTGGTCTCACGGTTAATCCATTTATCTAGAAAAGTCCTAAGTTTATCGTTCTTTAAGGCTGAGTAGGACTCCATTGTGTAAAAACCCACATCTTCTTTACCATTCATTAGTTGATGGGCCTTTTGGCTGTTCCCAAGATTTAGCTCTCACAAATTATGCTGCTATAAACCTGTGTGCGCATTTATCACTGTGGTATATTTTCAGTTCTTTTGGGAAGGTACCCAGGAGGAAACAACTGGGTCAAATGGAACCCCTAGTTCTAGATTTTTCGGGAATCTCCACACTGATTTCCACAGTAGTTGCACCAGTCTACACTCCCACCAACAGTGAAGAAGGGGTCCTTTTCCCCCATAGCCCATCAACATTCATAAGTGATTGAATTCTTCTTCATAGACATTCTTCTGGAGTGAGATGAAATCTTAGTATTGTTTTAATTTCCATCTCTCAAATGACTAGTGATATTGAACATTTGTCATATATTTATTTGCCATTTCTACTTATTCATTTAAAAAGTATTAATTTCAGCTGCTCATTTTTAATTAGATCTTTAAATTTGAGGGCTATGATTTTTTTTTTGTTCCTTATATATTCTAGATATTATTCCTTTGTCTGAGGCATCTCTAGGAGACCAGTGATACTACAGAATATCATGTGATTTCTTCAAGTAGTATCTACTTTTGGGGGGATACTGGGGACTGAACTCACAACTTGTTAAATATGTTAGTTTTCCTATCTACAGTTTTTTGTGACATACCCCTAGGAACTGTATAGAATAAAATTACAGTGCGCACATACCTTTCCATAGTTCATGGCTATTAGTAGAGTCTAAGAAATATTTTCAAAACAGTAAAAAGTATAAACAGTATAAACTCCTCAAATGAAATGAAACAAACCAGAAATTAAATCCTCAAAGTTTTCCAAATAATTTAAAATGAGTAAGGTTATAATTGTAAGGGAAAAGAAAAAGACCAATAGTATTTCCTGTTACAGAATAAGATGATGTCATGGGTATCTTCATAATAATCAAATGTTAAGAAAAATTAACTAACCTAAGCACAGTTCTATGTATTGAGTTAATTATGCTTTTCTTAACCTTCATGTTCACTTTCTGTTAATAACACAAAGAAAGTTACTGACATAACTGACATCCCCTGTGATAAGCAGACATCACAGGGGAACCAGATTTTGAAATGAAAGTTATTAGCAATGTATCTGGAGAGTAGCAGATAGTTCTCCTGAAAAACTGGATCAATTTAGATGAAACTATTAATTTATCCAACTAGTATTTATTAAGCACCCATTATGTCTTTATTAAGCAATTCTATATACGCTTCCTCGGGTCCTTGGCCCATTAAATATTCTCCATGACTCTAAGAGACTGAAAATATAGTAGAGGGAGACAAAATTCTAAAAGGTTTATCAACTACTATTTGTCAGAACACTTTAAAAAGACAGTGATATCACACAAGCTATTTATCTCTCTAATGTTGAGACTATTTGCTGCTGCTTTAAATTCATGAATAAAAACATACCGAAAGAAAAGAAAGATGTAAGAAGACAGTAGTTGAAAGCAACACCCTACACCTAATAGTTACAAATTATGCTTCGTTGATTTTGCTCTTCCAGTTCCTCAGAAGGAATGGGTTTGCTCATGGCTAATGAAAGTGGTCTGGTTACCTGCTGGGTACCATACACATGTGTATATACTGATTAATAAATAAATATAGGTATAGATAGCGATATGACGAGAATGCTGTAACTCAGGACAGTCATTTCCCACGAATTTGAGTATTTCTCAGACTAGAGTTGCCAACGGGGAAAAAAACCCTGTAAAGTAATAGGTTCCCTAGAGACACACAGGGGTGCTACAGGAGGGGGATGGGAAGAATTGTCCTGAATTTCACTCAGGACTGAACACAAGGACACGAAGGAAACACAGGGAAAGCACAGATTTCTTGAGTTTCAAATTGGAAAGGGGTAAATGAATTGTGTTAAAAATACCCACCTCTCTGTGTATCTGAAACAGAATTTTCCTTTTAAAGAGCCGGGAAGAGGAACTGGGTTTTGCTCCCGGTCACACTAACCTCTGAGACATCTGAGCGTTCTGTTCCGGGGGACGGGGCGCCCCTCCCCTACCCCCCATCAGGTGAGCCGGCTGGCATGCGCAGAGCCTTAGCTAATCCACAACAAACAGTGCCACCTACTGACCGTCTTCTACCACGGGCGGCTCCGAAAGTGGCAGCGCTCCTCAGATGCGTGCAGACACTACCGAGATGTTAGTTAGGGTGCACCGGGTCACCTGTGAGGCGGCTCAAAGCTCCAGGGCGCTAGGTACCATCTGTTTGAATTTCCTTGTTTTTCAACGGATGCGGAGATTGAGACTCAAAAAGATGGATCAGTTTGCCCCGAGTTTTGACATAGTAGTAGTGCTCAGTGAGTACCATTGTGAAGTAAACCCTGGGAATGGAAGGAAGTTTAACACTTTGGAGATAGAAATCAACTTTCAAAGTTGGCCAACCATGGGGGGACAAATCTGATGGAAAATTAATGGAAATTAGTGAATGATGGAAATTAATGAAAAAAGCATGAAATCGACCCAGCCAAGCCAGTTGGCAGCTGCGGGTAGGAAATCTGGAGCAGAGGAAGCGCTCTGGTGCCAGCTTCGGAGACCAGAATGAAACAAGAAATAAGAAGTCAAGGCTGTTTCGTTCCTTCTTTGTAACAGCAGAGGGATGCAGCTATTTACAGTTGCTAGAGGCCTGTTCCCACGCCAGCGTCACGGGGCAGATGAATCCATCTGCTTGCAGCTGCGTCCTCTGCGTACCTAGATGCGGCCTGGAAGACCGAAACCGGTTCGTGGCCGGGTCATCACAGCGCGGGACATGGCCGTGTGCGAGGCTTGGGGACGCGCACGAATTGTAGCCCTGGGCCAGGGGTGTTCTGCGCTCTTACCGAGGGTGAGAACTCCCGAGCTGGTCTTCACTCGGGGCTGCTGTGAGTGTCGCTCTGGGTCAGGGACATCACCAGAGCACAGCCCCGTATTAGAGAACACCAGACGAGGGGCTTCGGTGGATCGGGCGTTCTGAGCGTGAGTCTGTCCAGGCACCAATCCTAGAGCACTGCTTGCCTTTTAAACTTGGAAGAAACTGAACACCCGAGAACCCGGGTTTGACCAAACTCAGGGCCACCGTGCGCACACAGGGTTTGGGAAGCGGGGTGCTGCGGCCCCCAGGACCCCAGGCCTCTCCCCGGCTGAGCGCCCGCGGGAGGAGCCCGGGTGCGGGGTGGGGTGCGTTCCTGTCGGGGTCCGCGCCCGCAGGGTGCACAGGGCGCGGGCGTGGGTGCGGGTTCGCAGCCCCAGGCGGGGACCTTGCTGCGGGGGAACACAAGGCAGCACACCGGTCCAGGGCTCGGGGCCGGGGGGCTCCGAAACGCAGCCGCTCCCGCAGGACCCAGCGAGCGGACCACGCAGCCTTGGGCCCCGCGCAGATGCCTGCGGGCCGGGGTTCGCGTCCGATTCCACCAGGACGCACGCCGGGCCCTGGCTCTCGGGTCTGGGGATCCTGTCTCTCCCCACCGTCGGGTCGGACGCTGGGACAGCCTGGCTCCCTGGGCTTCCTGTCGTGCGTTTCCGGAGAATCTTTCTGCTGGCACCGCAGATGCGCCGCATCTACCTGAGAGCCAGGGCTGAGTGGAAGCTTGCTTGGCCTTCCCGAGGCCCTGGGTTCAAACCTTCGGACCCCGCGATCAACCAGCCTGATCAACTGATTTTAGGGAAAGAGGCTGCGTGCTTTGTGGTGCCACACGCTTGCACTCTTCCTATGAATAAAAAAGAAGAAAAAGACGCAGAGCACACACGCATTCATAGAGACATGGTGACAATGAATGAATCCTCACTGAGAGAAGGGGCAGCCCCTGGGGGACTGACTTGTTTCCGAGTACCAGTGGACTGCAAGGGAATTTCAAATATAAAATGCCAGGCAGGGGAAAAGACAGGCTCCGTTTAACCGCACAGTGTTCTGTAGAAGTCACTTTTAAATTCAGCTCGTAGCTCCTCAGCATATAGGAAAAGTTTAGGTTTATTTTTAATAATAAATGAGAATGTAGTAAAATGTTTTAAAATCCTAATCCTTCAGTGATATTCTTTTTGAAGAATGTGTCTGTTTCCTTCTGGAGAGAGCAGTAATACCTCTGTCCATTTCCTTTCTACAGGTCACACCACTTGAGGTTTTAAAATTATATTACCTCGGAAGTAAAATCACATTTCCCCTTTTCATTCTTAGTCCTCCTAAAAAGCGAATTCAAGTCAAATGTACTGAGGAATGGAGTTAGACTTCACACATGCAAGCGCGCTTTGCGGGTGGGAGGTGGAATCCAGATTACTTCTTTCCCTCACCAAACAGTCACAGTCACCCAGGGTCACCCACGTGTCAGACTAGCAGCTCGTGAAGGAAATCCAAAGTGAAGTTTGAATGTGCACCACTGTCACACACTGTCACCTATCAGTGACTAAATGTGTCACATATAGTAGGCACTGCCCAGTTAGCTAAACAGCAGATAGTAACGTTCTGAAAAGTAAATCCTGTCTTGATTCACATCGCTTAGCCTCCATAGTTTAGCAACTATCTAGAAAGTTATTAAAAATACACCCAAGGACCTGCCACTAATGTGAGTTAAAAAGAAAAAAAAAGCCCTAATCCACACTGATTTGGAAAAAGAAAAGCACACAGCTTCCCTCGATACCTCGTCCTGTCACCTTTCTCAAGCATCCCAAGGGAGTCAGCTCCTGTCTCAGCCACCCAGCCCTGTGTAATCACTCATCTCCACAGTGCCTCCACAGCCCAGTGGGCCTCTCTGGTCTCTCACAAATACAGCCCCTGTTCAGCACCTCCCACAGAGCTTGGAAGGAAGCCAAGGGCAGGCCAGAGTGCCTGCAGTGCCCCAGGGGCCACCCCCATGGCAGCCTTCAGTGGTCACCCCTATTTCCCACACACCTGGGAGAAAGAGAAATCATTGGGCAGACAAGAAAGCCCAAGTGGGGAGTGTACACTTTGGGGTACAGCACCAGCCTCCCCCTGTCCCTTCTCCCCATCTAAAGCAGAGTCTGGGCTTGAAGAGGGCCCACTTCCTGATATTCTTCCTTCCTCTGGAGCTCTTCCATCGTCTATTCCCCAGCCCAATGGAAAGTCTTTATAAATAGGGTGAACACGTGACAATATATTTTTAGAGGACTCAAGCATGGAAAGGAAAGTTAATAATAAGGGTACCAGGACAGCACAAGCAGTCAGGCTGCAGGGACAGCTGGTGCCGAGGCTCCAGGGCCTTTGGAAGAGGAAGAAGACAACCGTCAGGTTCAGGGCTTATTGGTGTGCGCTGCCCATCATGAAAGGCCGTTCTGCGATGATTATTTCTTATGTTTTACTTCAAATGCTGCCTGAAAACAGATCACCAGCTTTGTGGTTTCCCCACCTCCCACTGAGCATAGGTATATTTTATATACACTGTCTTACGTGCACTCAGAAGACACAGGAGGAATGAATGGACCATCAAGTAATGCCCTTGCTTCATCAGAACTATGGGCATGCAGACACTGACCAAGTTCTTTAGAGACGAATGACCCAAAGTTTGCTTTGAACGACTTATAATTTGGTAGCCTCTTGTGCTGTTTCTGGTTGTGTTTTATACGAACTAAGAAAAGATTAGCACCCCGTTTATTCAGAGAATCGGCAGCCTTAACACAGTTTATCTTGTAGAATATTTCTCCTTTGACTTGAGTTTATTACTTGTGACTTGAGGTTACCTACTTCACAGTGTTTAGTATTCTGAGTTTTAGAAGGTGAACCTGAACACATACATGTTTTCTATCATTTGTTTTTTTCCTGCTCTGGGCTCCTGTGGTTACTTGCTGTATGTCTTTTGTAGATCTTTTGGATTTCTTCAGTAAGTATCTTTACTACTTTTAGAAAGTTACGTGAAAAAAAAGAAATGCCAATCAATACCACAGTGATGTGTCACTTCACGATCAGTGACTTCATTGAAATGAAAAAGATAATCGGAGTTGAACAGCATGAGGGTGAAACCAGAACCACCCCACTCTGAGGAAGGAAATAGCAAGCCATGCAGATGCTCCAAGGGGAAGTATAGAAGTTTCTGAGTGGTTCAGAGGAAGCTCCCCTGTGATTCACTGAGGGCACACGCAGGAAGATACACAAAGCCGCTTTTTACACAAAACTTACACAGAAGGATTTGCAGCAGCAATATTATCAGAGCCAACACAACCCAAATATGCATCAGCTAATGGATGGATAAGTGAAATATGTTGTTAACATACAGAATGTTATTCAGATTAAAAACGAAGAACCGACGTATGTTGCAAGTGGGTGAGCCCTGAAAACACTGCACTCAGTGGAAGAAGCACTCACAGAACTCCCATGTATCACCCCATTTCTGTGGTAAATCCAGGACAGGCAAATCTGTGAAGACTGGAAGCAGATTGACGGCTGCCTCAGATCAGGAGGATGGAGGGTTGGGGAGCTCAGACAGGGAGCACAGGGTGCCTGGAGGGTGGTGAAAGTGTTTCCCAGCTGACTGTGCTGCCGTGATACTCTGCTTTGTGAAAGCAGCAGGAGCCAGTAGGTTGTGCACCTTAAATGAGTGAATTGCATGGCCTCTGCATTGCACCTTTATAAAATTATTTAAAGCCAGGGGGTAGGACAATAGGTCCAGGATGCATTCCCGAGTAGGAGACGGACTGGACAGCACAAACTGAAACAAGTGCACAGGCAGCTAAGCCAATCACTAAGTCGTGAAATGTAACTTGTGACTTCTAAAGCCTACCACATCCTTGAAGGTAAAATCCTAGCTGTGTGGTGATGTGAAGGCAAATTTCTAGAGGCGTGGAGATGGATTGTCACAACCAGGTAGACCTCTGCGGTATCTGTTCTTCACGGAAGATCGCTCCCCTAAGACATGAGATTGAGATAATAGATAAAGAATGTAACGACTGTTTGTGAGCATGCACACGTGACTCGAGCTTTTCCATGAGTTGACAAAAGTTGTGAGAGAAGGGAGCACAAATGTCTTCTAATGAGATTAAAACTTGAGTGTTGCCATGTGACTCCATGAGTGATGGGTGAAGACCGGGTACCACAGAATTCTTAGCAGGGTGCAAATGGTGCTGTGTCTCACCCAGTGGGAAAACACATGGGTCAGTCAGCTACCAGAGCCATGAACCAGGCCGTACCACTGCTGCGATTCCCTGGGGGTTCGGTGAACATTTATATGTAGAATCGTTCACCGTTTGTTGTAT